GTATACAAACTTTATCGATGGCAACTTCATTGGTGTATAAAACTTTCTGCTTGGGCAGCGTTGAATATAAACCATAAACTGTGCTCTGGGTCTACAGTTAATTTTCACTCGATTTTCCCTCCACTTGACTTCAAATACACAAAAACACACGTAATAATACGAATCAAAATGCATCATCTTCCAAAACGCAGGGTATTTAACAAAAGTTGACACAAAATTCTAACCTATAATTTGGCAAGACTTTGACAAGCGTCAAAAATGACAAAGATCTAAAGGCGAGTTCATACGCATCGGCGTCCGTGTGTCGTTCATCGTTCCGTCAAACCAATAAAATTGAAATACGATCTGTCATTTTTTAAATAAACCAATAAAACTGGTTAAAAACAACAAGACACGACGTATGACGGATTTATATTTAAACCCATCCATAGATAACTTAAAAATTATTAGAAACTTTTTTAGTAAAATAAATAGATTGGTATGGGACGTCATCTGCTTTTCTTCTGTCATCGTCTGTCGAAATCTTACCTGAGAAAAAAAACAGAGTATAGTCCGGTAAATAAAATATCAGACTTATTACCGTAAAACTTTATTTACCGGTCTGAAATATGTAAAGGTATGTTGTACGATACAAGTATAAAATAAAATATTACATTTTATATGGAAAATAAAGACGAGTTTATGTGTGTATCCGTAATACTTTTCTTGTCATTCAACATGTTGTAAGCATGTAGAAATAATGCAGTTTTGTTATGAATTAACATTATGATTCTGAAAGGTTAATTGTTCTTAACATAATTTTGTATTTAGATTTGTAATTGTACTCAAAAATTCCAGCAGAGTGATTCTGAAAAATGTTTTGAAAAAAATTCTGAAAAAAATCTGATTTTCTGTTTAATACCATAATATTTAAATACCGAGTTATTAATTTTTATATCAGTAATTTCTTAAAATTACTTAAATTTTATAAATTAATAATTATATTTGACAAAAATGTAAAATTTATCTTAGTGTTTAATTTAAAAGCTACAAAATCTGAGTCTAAATATTTATTAGATAGAACCATCTGGCAAATAGAACTGCTTTTCTAATAAAGCGAGCCAACTAAAGAACGCCGCTCGCATTCTTGATTAATCGCCAACGTCACAGATTTTAGTTATGCAAATTTGCAATTTTAATTGTCCCAACCGATGGCCATATTTAAATGAAACAAAAAAACTTAATGGATATGCAAATGGGGAAATGGTCATCATACTTTTTACTATTATGTATTCAAACCGTGATGAAGATAAATGTATAAACTCAGATTCAAAGTTCTTGTCGCGCTACTCGCGGCTTATGCTGGATTAAAAATTGTCGGTTATTTAAAATATTTTGTACGTACCACGAGGGAAGTGAAATGAAATAATATGTTTAATATGGCATTAAAATGCGCTATGAAATAATTTTGACAAATTTTAAAGGATGTTAACACCGGGTGCGTTTCGAAAGTGGCTCACCTCTATAACTTTTTTATCTCTAGAGATAAAACGAGATTTGCTGCGTTAGTATATGACATAGATTAGGATTGATTGACGTATTCAGTCGGTTTTGGTCACTTCCTGTTTCACCGGAAATTACTACAACTTTTGATTTTTAAATGACACCCTCGGTATATTTCTATTTTATTCGATAGAAAATGACACTCCGAATAGAATGACATATCACATATCAATTTTTGACATTGAGCGGCAGCTGCGTTAGCGAATGCTCGCGCAGCAGCCGGCGCGTTGCCAAAGTTATATCTCGTAAACAGTGAAATATAAAAAAAGTTACATATCAGTTTGGTAAGTTTTTTAATGCTGTTTAATTTTGGGACAGTATAAAAATGGTGTCACCCGAAAAAATGCAAAAAACTGCGTTTGAGTGATTTTGTAGCCCTCTAATTTTGTCCCCGTAGATTTTAGAGATTTGTTACTCAGAAATGAAATTGATGAGAAGTTAATTCTCTTCACAAACAATTTTTTACCCTACTTGATAAGATAAACGCAATTTTATTAATCACAATTAACAAAATTAAAATAAAAATAAAATTAATAAATTATATATTTTGTATATATTATAATTAAATATTATTTATTTTTAGTTACTATTACTATAAGCCCAACCTAGAGCAATTTCAAATAAAAAATAATGGTATTTAAAATAATTACAAAAAACCAAATTTAAAAAGTTTTAACATCCTGTAACTCTAAAAATAAAAATAAATCCCGAATAACTTATGAAAAGGAATACAAAAATTTTCAAAAATGGAAGCAATTAAAAAATCTACCCTTGCGGTTAAAGTACTTTTTTATCTACTATTTTTGATAGATATAAGGCAATTTTAACAGTTGCTATGGAAAACATATATTTTTTAATATGAAACGTTTTTCTATATTTAGATCATGTTTTTTAAAAAAAGTCATTATTTCTGCTTTTACGGATAAAAAAATATTACTTTTTTAGACATTTATACAAACTGATATAATATTTGACTTAAAAAAAAGCATTTTATTAAGGATCTCGAGGGCATTTTCAAAGTAAACATAAAAACCTGAAGGCAAAGTAATGTTTGGATATGTTATTCTAAAAATACGCAGTCTTAAAAATTAGATTTTCGAATTCATTTATTGAATATTTTTTTAGGAATCTTTTAACTATAATCTATAGTAATATATAAAATCCTTAAGTGACTGACATACTGATTAATCACGATCCTGCTCAAACCACTCAACGTTAGAAGCTCAATTTTGGCATACAGTTTGATTCTAGGGTGTAGAGGTTCGATAAGAAGTGATTTTTCGAAATTCCAGTTCCAAGGGGGTGAAACCACCCTCAAATATTACAATATTTTTTATTTAAAAACGGTCTAAAGTTTCCGAAAAAACGCTTAAACACGTATATTTTATTTTATTTTTTTACATATTTTAAGATTTTTTAAAAATGTATACAGTGTGTTTCGAAAAATCTGGTCATTGATTAATCACGATCCTGCTTATAGCGCTTGACGTAAAAAGCTGATTTTTGGAAAACGGATTGACTTTAGGGTGTAGAGGTTCGATAAGAAGGGATCTTTCGAAACTCGAATTCTAAGGGGGTGAAACCATCCCTCAAATATTAGAATATTTCGAGGAATATTTTTTATTTAAAAACCGGTGAGTTTTTCGGAAAAACTCTTAAACACGTATATTTTATTTTGTTGTTTTACATATTTTAAGATTTTTTAAAAATTTATACAGGGTGTTTCATAAAATATGACCATTGAGTAATCACGATTCTGCTTAAACTGCTTGACGTTTAAAGCTGATTTTTGGCAAACGGATTGTCTATGGGGTGGAGTGGTTCGATAAGGAGGGGTTTCCCGAATCTCAAATTCCAAGAGGGTGAAAACTGAGGGTTTAAAATATTTTGTACGTACCACGAGGGAAGTGAAATGAAATAGTATGTTTAATATGGCATTAAAATGCGCTATGAAATAATTTTGACAGATTTTAAAGGATGCTAACACCGGGTGCGTGGCGAAAAGGGCTCACCTCTATAACTTTTTTATCTTTAGAGATAAAACGAGATTTGCTGCGTTAGTATATGACATAAATTAGGATTGATTGACGTATTCAGTTGTTTTTGTTCACTTCCTGTTTCACCGGAAATGACTACAACTTTTGATTTTTAAATGACACCCTCGGTATATTTCTATTTTATTCGATAGACAATGACACTCCGAATAGAATGACATATCACATGTCAATTTTTGACATTGAGCGGCTGCGTTCTCGAATACTCGCGCAGCAGCCGGCGCGTTGGCAAAGTTATATCTCGTAAACAGTGAAATATAAAAAAGTTACATATCAGTTTGGTAGGTTTTTTAATGCTCTATAATTTTGCGACAGTATAAAAATGGTGTCACCCGAAAAAATGCAAAAACTGCGTTTGAGTGATTTTGTAGCCCTCTAACTTTGTCCTCGTAGGTTTTAGAGATTTGTTACTCAGAAATGAAATTGTAGAGAATTTAATTCTCTTCACAAACAATTTTTTGCCCTACTTGATAAGATAAACGCAATTTTATTAATCACAATTATCAAAATTAAAATAAAAATAAAATTAATGAATTATATATTTTGCCTAATTTGTTATTAAATTAATTATTTTTAGTTACTATTACTATAAGCCCAACCTAGAGCAATTTCAAATAAAAAATAATGGTATTTAAAATAATTACAAAAAACCAAATTTAAAAATTTCTATCATCCTGTAACTCTAAAATTATGCATTTCCATGCTGGGCCTATTATCGTCTCCCTCCCACTGGTCCGCAATCCAGCACTAACTAGTCGAACGACGTCTTTTGACAATGTAGCTGCGAGATTTTTAACGTAATAAGCAATTTTTTCGTGTGCGGAGTAAAAACTTTGTCCATTTGTCCTTTTCTGTTTAGCCAGAAAATAGAATACAAAAAAATTGAATTTCTCAAAAACGCTACCTTTAGCGCACCGAAAAAAAATCTCAATACGATCAGAGAATGTTATAATGATCCTCAGTTCGAGTGAACATCGTAATCCGCTAAGGTAACTTGCAGTATCCTATCGACCGTCATTGATTTCATGAAAGTTGCATACACATTGTGAAAATATATGCAATATATCTCGTAAACAGTAAAACTTAAAAAAGGTACACATTAATTTGATAGGTTTTTTATGCTCTTTACTTTCAAAAACTCTACGACAGTAATAAAAGCTAAATTTCAGCTTTTCCAGTGTATGGAACTGGCAAAGTATGAGAGAGGCGGTAATTTGATCGGAGTCTAGACGTTTTTTTGATGTCAGATTGACTGTACATACGTTTAATAAGTCCTGTTATATTACTTTTTATATTTACGAAAATATCTTCTATTAGAATAAAAGGCCATTACCAGAATTATAACGTTAAATACTATTAATTCGCACGCCTGTTTTAATACATATAATTTGTCCTCTATTACAGCACTTCAAACACCTGGAAGAGCTCCATATCACCAACTCGAACATCAACCAAATCAGCATGCACGCCTTTTGGGGCATCCCCAGCCTCAAGATCCTCGACCTGGGCCTCAACAACATCAGCTCGCTGTTCGACCACAATTTTCGCGGTCTGGTTAATCTGATCGACCTCAATCTGGACGCGAACCGGATCGCCGCGCTGCCAAGTGGCGTGTTCAAGCACTTGACCGAACTGAGGACGTTGAGCCTGCAGAGGAATCTGTTGCGAGAACTGGTGCCGAGGACGTTCCTCAAGCTGGTCAAGTTGCACGCGTTGAGGATTAGTGGCAACAGGTTCGAGGAGTTGGATCCGGAAGCGTTCAAGGAGATTCCGGTAAGTTTGGACTGGTGCTATTTAGGGGATAAAGCGGAGTAATTAGTTTCGGTGGCGTACAGGGTGTCAATAGTGTGCAGGGACAAATTTCAAGAAGTGATTCTTCATCAAAATATATGGAAATTAATAAATTTTTCGGAGCGGGTGGTTGTGATTAATGTAAATATTTCTCGCCTTCGACTTTTCTGCTCTAAATGTTTTGTTTTATTTATATTTGAATTCAAAGGATTTATTTTTAAAGTTACTCTGATATACAGAGTGAGTTTTCTACAATGTTCTCTATGGGTATCTCGGAAACTACTGGAGATAGAAAATCGGTTAAATGGGGAAAGAATGGCAGTAGTGTTGGGTCATAAATATGGGCCTTTCAGATTTTTGAAAAAGTTCATGGCTTACTAGATATTTCGAAAGTAGTATATCTGGCGGGGTTCTGGGCAGATTTGACCTTTTTTTGATATCCAGTTTGACCTTTGCTAAAAATAGTGATAGGATGATGTATTTGAAACGGCGCACTACTGCGCGTGTCTTAACGTGTTGTGCGAATAGGTGACGTAATTTTTCTTTTTGACCTTTTTTGATAGAGTTTGACCTTTACTAAAAATAGTGATAGGATGATGGATTTGAAGCGGCGGACTACTGCACGTGTCTTAACTTGTTGTACGAATAGGTGACGTAATTTTTCTTAATAGTTTTAATAAGTTGACAGTGACGTAATTTACGTGTGGCTGTTGATGAGGTGTTAAAAAAATTTCTGAGTCATAGCCAATTTTTTTTTACTTAGTTAGCAATGGAAACAAGTTCAATCGTCGTTGATCTCAGAAATATCAAATTGTCACATACAAAACTTTGTAAATTAAAATAACCAAAAATTGCAAATATGAATTTTTCAAATAAAGAAAATCGTGTTGAATTGATGGTTCAATTTTTCTTGGCCATACATTTTCGAGGATACGTTACGTACGCTTTTTAGTGAATGGTTTTCAAAACCTGTTAGAAAGTTAAATTTAGAGACTCGCGTATCAATAGAGTGGTTCCACCATGGCTTTCATTATGACACTCCTCCCTTCCCCCTATAATGAAAGAAATGTTAGAAATTATTTCTATCATAATTATTGAAACGCTGGGATAGGAAAAGGTGGACCCATTACTTGAAACCCCTCGATCACCTAACCTACCCATTTTAGATTTTTTATGCTGTATATTTTTTAAACATTTTCTAAAATAACTTAGAGTGTATGTAGTGATATTATGTTTTAAAGTTTTAGTGTGTGTAATGTAAATTGTAAAGAACCGTTTAATATAATATTCTGTTTTTTTATAAGTTATAAATTATATTAATTAAATAAATATCAGAATAAGAATACCATACCAACTAAGTGAAATTAGTCAAGAACGATAAATTGGCTATAACTCAGTCATTTTTCGAAAAAAGCATATTATAGCTTATATCGCTGAAAAGCTTAAAAAATGGCGCCTGTCATGAAGTCATGGCCAACTATGGTTTCCATTTAAAAAAAAAACATAAATTGGTGTCATATATATGTCAAAAATGACAGGCTTTAGAAAAAAAAAACGGAGAACACAATCTCATTAAGGATGCCATTATCTACAATTTCTATATGAAAACTTGTTTTCTATAATAGGCGTTTATAACTTTTACTATTTTAGAGTTTCGACAATATTACATGTTGTAATTTTTTCTAGCCTTGGTTACTTAAATTTTGACGAATTTTATAAAGTATAATTTTGAACAGCCCTAAACAATTACATCGTAATTCCTTCTAAAACTCGTCAAACCTTGAACAAAAGATTCCTAACTACAAAGCGTAATTTCTAGCCCTTATTGCATAATGCCGACTAATCAAACGATCAAATTGTTTTCCATTACCGACAAACTTTAGTTTAGTTTCCGAAATGGCAAATAGATCGATGTCACCGAAACGACTGTCGATAAAGGTTGTTCGAATCCAGAGTTGTTTGCAGATTGTCAGAGTACAATTCCAGAACTCTGGATAATCGATCTGGTTCGGGATGTGCAGCAGTGAATGCATTCCGTAACGGCAAATATTTGTATTATATTGGAAGATGTTACATTATTTTGATTATAGCCGGTGCGTATTTTATCTTTACTAGTTAGACACAATCAAAACTCAAGATGTTTAGGACATAAAATCATAGAAGTATTTTTTCTTGGAGTAAGTCCAACAATGGTCAACGGCATAGGATCAGGCAGGCAAGGAGAAACCACCTGACTAACTTCTCAAGAGCACATCATGAATTGGAATCCCAGGATAAATGTTGTGCCATGCGATCCGAGCGGCAATCGGCATCAGATCGGTTCCTGGCCGACTGATGTGAAATTGGCGACCGGGCAAGTGGATGTAGGCAACCAGGCGACACTTGCGAAATCTACGAGTGGAAGAGACACCCTGAAACTCCGCCAGAGAACCATACTGGGTACATGGAATGTAAGAGGCCTCATACAACTTGGCAAATTACACATTCTCGAAAGAGAAAACATCGACATATGTGGTATAGCAGAGACACACTGGAAAGGTCAGGGCCATTTCGAAACCTCTAATCATGTAATTTATATGTTTGGCCAGGAAAAATCAAGCTCAAATGGGGTAGCCATAATGGTATCGAAAAAAGTGGTGAAATGTGTACAGAATTATGTACCCATCAGCGACTGTTTGATAATGACACAATATCGGCTAAACCTAAAAAGATGCACATTATCCAAGTGTATATGCCTACTTCAGATGCAACAGATGATGAGATCGAACATATGTATAACACAATCGAATCAATAAGTTCGATGATCCCAAACAAAGAACCCCTGATTCTAATTGGAGATTTCAACGCCAAGGTGGGAAAACGGAAGAGGATGATGAAAAAGTGCATGTCGGCACGACAAGAACAAACAAATAAACGACATATGCGATAAGATAGAACAAAATGCAAACTATAGCGAATCTCGAGAGCTTTTTAACAAAATCAAATATTTATCGAATGAGTTTCAGCCTCGAACACAAATTATTCAAGATGAATTTGGAACACTACAACGGATCCTCTGGAGATTGTTGAAGTTTGGAAGAAATACTGCTTAGGGCTGTTTGGCGAAACCGCCAGCACTTCCGACAATAGGGTTGACTTTGGAGATGTAATCAAAGAACCTGCCATACTGTAGCATTTTTTATTTCCTTTAATAAAATTGAATTTAAAAATCTATTTTTATTTAAATTTCTTAGTATTGGCGCCATCTATTTGCTAGATGCCAAAGATACCAAACTCCATTTGTTACAGGTCACTTGTTTCGATATTTAATTTTTATTAGCGCCATCTATTCGCTATATGCCAAACTTCTTTACTTGCATTTCACTTGTCTGTGGTGAAAAGGGTTTTTTTGTTTTCGTTTCTGAAACTGAGAAGAAGGTCTTTTTTCTGGGAATTTGGATCTGAAGAAGACGCGTGTTTTGGCGTCCGACAAATTTTCCAGTGAATCACCTTGTATATTTACATACCTATGAATATGTCTAGCTGAAACTTGAAATTTACTTGAAATGCATTCTGACTCAAAATTTGCCAAACTTCCCCGCATATAATTCGGTAGAAAGTTTGCTCGGTACATTGTTACATTGTTACACCGGATTTCACTGTCTGTCTATTTGCTATTTATTGGTTTTGTTTACGGGTAAAAGTTTTGAATATATCTGGGAGCTGGAGCTTTATGAACAAATACTTTGAAAGACTGTTAACTGAATTTAGTCACGTTTCTAGAGTCGATTTACATATGAAATATACACATAATTGCAAAATTCTAGTGCTTCAGGCATTTTGAAGGTAGTAAGAAGTTAGTTAGAAAAGAATATGTTTAAATCAAATGTTGATTTTATTTAATCAAATAATATGAAATATATACATTATTGCAAGTTTTAGTGATTCAGGCAAGTAGTAGTAATTAGAAAAAATCTACAGAGTTGTTCAACACATACGTCACGGAGTATTATAGCTAAACGATTAGATTTTTACAAATTGTAAGTTTTGGGTTTGGTTTGGTTCAGAAACTTCTTCGAGTGTCTTGCAATGGTCTAGGACACTCTCGAAGAAGTTTCTGAGGGCTTATGATCAAGAAAATCACAGATCTTCCTGGGTCTGAGTAAGAACAATCTTCGGATTGTCACGGGGTTTTTAACAGGACACTGTCTCATCAATGAACACCTCAGTAGATTGAAACTAAGAAGAAACGGCGAATGCAGATTCTGTGGGGAAGATGGTGAAACACCAGTACACCTCATCACTGAGTGCGCCGAGACGACAACCATTCGTGCCATGAATTTTGGTACGACTGATATTGGAGATGGAGAACTACCCTCTATAAAACCGTCCCAGATACTGGCTTTTGTCAAAGCCCTGGGACTGTATGATGAGTTATGATTCAAGAAAGGGGGACACAATGGATCTGTAAGGTCGAAGTGATTAACCCCCCTCCCACTCATTCTAAATTCATTCAAATTCAAGTTTTGGGTTCGTTGAAGGACTATTAGAGCTACAATATAAAAATATTTTTACAAGATACAGAATGTCCCAAATAAGTAAAAATTATTATAGTTGAATTTTTTTAAATGGAACACCCTGTATATTATTCTATTTTTAGATTCTACCACTGAAATAAAAGTAAATTTCATTAAGGTTTATCACACTTAAATCTTACCGTTTTTTAAATATTTTCAATTTTATGAAATTGCAGTAAAAATTTTAAGGCTTCATTTCTCCAAGCGTATCAGAAGTTTCTAATACTAAATATTTACTGAAGTTTATTTATTGATGAGATATTGTTTTGCAATAATAGTAATACTACTACCTTATACAGAGTGTTTAAAAATTTATATTAAATAATTACTAGCTTTAAACGGCAATAAGTTTTTTAATTTAAATGGAACCGGGAAAATATACAGGGTTATTTTACAAGAATCAAATGCACAATTTAATTGTCTATA